ATAGAATTTACAAGTTCACAGAAAATTAGCATGGCACAATGAAATTACAGCAGTGCATTGCAACAACTTGTGAATGGAATTTGAAACCAGTCTTAAACCTACATAATGGCTTTCATGAATATTCCAAAATAAATTAACATGATCTCATTAAAAATGGAAGGAGTTTCTATAAACAGTGCCATATAAAGCGCTCAATATAATTAGCTAAGTGTCACACATCTGTTAAAGAATTGCAAGCAGAAGAATTACTGATGGCAAATTAGAATGTGAATGTCTTACACTTGTATATCATAGTTTTCTTTTGCTATTTTAGAAGTGATACTTGAGTGGGTTATTGACTGCTAAAGCATCTATCTAATCATATTGTCAACAATCATTTTTGGATTAATAGATTCCAAAAATGCAATATTAGAATTATTTGTGATTTCCTTCTGTTTGTTCATTGTGTCTTCTCCATTTAGGTTCCATGGGCTTGATTTTAACTGTGGTCCAGTTTTTGGTTAGCGCTTACTAACTCCTCACCCATCTGTGATGGGTGGCAGTGTAAATCCTCATGGCCCAGAGGCTGTTCACCAAAAACAGGATCTAAACAGGTTCAACTGCATGATGCCCCTAAATTGGGAAGAGGTTGGCTGCAGACTATGGGTTTCACTGCAGTGCAGGTTTAAGAATAACAGTAAGGATTGGCTCCTATGATGCTGCTTGGCCTGCTGTGTTCATCCAGCCCTGCACCTTGTTGTCTCGGATTCTCCAGCATCTGCAGTTCCTACTATCAAGGATTGGAATCATTGGATAGAGGTGACTGTCGGCTCCTTCTCACCCTAAAAAAGGCAGTTTTTAAATAATTAAAAATATGCTGTACGTGCTCTCTCTACTTCTGAAGTTCAGTCAATGACTGAATTTCAGAATTATTTCATTGTCTTTAAATGACACGTAGGGTTATAAAAATGGAAGTTCTTCCTTCTTTCTGTCCCTGTTCCTTGCTGGCGTGGACCTGGGCGGGGTTGGGGGTGTGGTGGTGGGGAGTGGGGGTGTGTGGTCATTGCAATTTTACACAATCTCCTCTTAGCGAAAATTAGTGAAAAGTCAGGAACCAATGATGTAATCCAAACCCATTCCATGTGTGCTAAAATGAACCACTCTGGCTTTGGGTGGGTCTCCTGCACCATTTGGTGAAAATCTTAATAGCTCATCTCCTGATAGCTCTGGGTTCAGAAGGATACAGCTATTCCTTTGACTGTATTTTCATTCTAAAGCTATCCCTTGTGAATACTGCTGCTACTTCAATTCTAGCAAAGGGTGCACCATGGTCTACTGTATGTGAAAAACACATTGAGCAGGTCATTTTGCGTGCTGTTATTAAAAGTTGCTGCTTTTCCTTGCCTGCATAATGATGCTTGTAGTGCTCAGAGGGCTGCGGTGGTTGAGGCATGACTTTTGCTGTTATTTCACTGAGCTCAACTTGAAGTACTATATTACATTTTAAATGCGGATTTTCCAATGGGAATGCTTTAATTTATTGTGAAGAGAAGAGGTTGAGCTGAGGTTAAAGGAACTTGGAGTCATGCATCCCGGAAGGAATCTCTTCCCTACACTCTTTGTGACTTCAATGTACATGCTTGACATACAGGGGATTGAGTTGCCTTGCACTTTGATGCCATAATCCCTTTCAAAGTTTAGAATGACTGGCAACAGTATATGCTGATTAATCGAGAAGCAAAGACTAAAGGTGGCCAAGTGTGTGAACAAAGTAGCTGTGATAATAGCATTAAAATGTTAGTTTGCAATTGATACTTTTGGCCAGCCTCTATGTTAGTGGGATTCTTGTTTTCACTGGATTAGAAATTTTAATTTAAGATGCTTCACAGTAAAGTATAAGAAATAACCTGGTATTGCTATTGGATTTTTTTCTGCATTATGTTGTAGTTCTAGATGTATTAAATACAGTTTCTTTTAGTTCTTTTATTTGATAGATTGAGATTCTTACTAGACAAACTATACACATTGTAAACAATCTTGTGTGCTGCTAATTTTGATCCCCTGAGTTGTTCAATGTATATATTATTCTTTCACAGGATGTTGGTATTGCTGGTAAAGCCAGGCAGCATTTACTGACCATTCCAAATTGCCCTTGGCAGTGGAGGCTTTGCGACACAATTCATAGTCTCCTTACCCCTAACCAAGTATCTCCAGGGACAGCCCCTGTCCAAGACTTCACGGCCAAGGAAGATGCATTCATAATGCAGCCAAACACATTGAGTATCAACTTGTAAATCCGTCTAAAATCTACCAATGGCAGTTGGTAAAAGTAGGTGAGATTCCTGGTCAGCCATGTGATGGAAAAATATTTGGAGTCTCTACCATCACTGCCCATTGCTCCAGCCTGCAACATGCCTGTAAAAGTATGTGTTGCCACAGTAATTCAGACTTCTGAGATGGTCTGTCGGCTGAACTGGTTGGATGCCCAGTATCAATTATTTATGACAACAGTATATGCTTCAATCACCATTCTAGCTGCAGTAGTTCTAGGACCCGCTTCCCAGCCCAGCTGTGGTCCAGGTTATGGCTCTGAGTGTTGGACCTGCCTTCAGGCCAAAGAAATTGACAACAGTGGCAGTGAGCCTCATTCTTGAATATGACTAAGTTGCTTGCTAGGCCATTTTGAAATGCACAGATGAGTCAATAGGGACTCCAAGGTCCTTTAACCTCAGCTCTTCCCAGGCTTCGTCCTCTTCTCTTCACAATAAATTAAAGTATTCCCATTAGAAAATCCGCATTTAAAATGTAACGTGGTACTTTGAGTCAACAATGTTTCTGTGGGTCTGGAGTCACCAAGTGAAGAGGACAGATATTGTGCCTGAAAGAATTCGAGTGAATCAAGTATTTTCTAAAGTCAACCAGTTGTTTCATGACATAATTTCAATTACTAACTCTTCATTCCAGATTTAATGAATTTGAATTTAAATTTTCCTGCTATGATTTTGGATATGAAGTCTTATCTCCCAATCATGATACCATGTTTTTGAATAACCAGCCTAATGATGCAAACATATGGGCACAATTTTCTGATTGAGTGAACCAAAGATCAGAAGCAATCTGGATGTAATCTTGTAATCGCACACCAAAAAGTGAAATAGGACACAATTTCAATCAATCCGAGTGATAAACTAATCATTATTTCCTACAGTAAGCATCCTCCTGTTGTTTAAAAATTGTTACAATATTCTAGGAATTTAAAATTCAGTGGCAGGGATTTAACAATACTTTGCTGGTTTCTTGGCAAATGTCGAAATGTCAAAACATGTTCTAAAATAATTGATGGGTTTATTGTTTCAAACATCACTCATTATTAAGCCATCCCATGAAGGATATTGCTTAATGGTGTCAACAAATGCAAAACTTGGTGACAAGGAAACATATAACTATGGATTTTATACAAGTTCTCCATAAGCTTTTGTGATTGTTCTTACGTGAAAGGAACTAGATGCCTGAACCTAGAAATTTGGTGGCCTGCATTCAATATAAAAGGTGTAAAACGGGTGCCTAATGTGCATAATATAGTCGGAGATATATGAGCCAAATTGTGATAGAAGTGAGAGGCTACCGTATAGATTTATGATAATTTCTAGGCCTTCAGAGCACATACCTGAGCGTACCTTTCATCAAGTTGAACTGTAAGATAGTTTGTTCATATTCTCAGCAAAGGCAATCAATTGTTAAAGGGATGCAGCAGGCTACAAGCTGAAAGGGAAGTTATCTTTCTGTGGAGTGAGGTGTACCAGGAATGCTTTCTCAAGATCCCTATTAAAAAGTAGGTTTTGTCCTTGATAGCTTGATGCTCTTTACAGTTGTTCCTCTGTCCCACATTCCCATTAAATGCTGCCATTCAACAATCCACGAGCAGCCTCTGAGATCATGAAATATATTCTAAAATGGCTTGTAATATCTTATTGAAGCCAGCTGACAAATTTACCACACTGCTGCTACTATGCTCATTAGGCATGTAACCCTGTACAAGGATTGTTCTCCAAATTGGAGGCAGTTCAATTTTCAGCTTTTGATTTCTATATAGTATGCTTTGCATCAGAATCTTACAGATGTAGTTTTATTTGCTGGGCTTACCATTTCTAACAGCTGCCAAATGTGCATTTTAGCTCCTTAACTCAGGTCATTCCTAATTTATTTGAGATTTCAGAGCTCTGAGTCCATAATTAAGGAACTTTGAAATTAGTCAAACACATTCTATTAAACAGTGCTGCAAAAGAACTGTAACAGGAATTAAAAAGAACAACAAAGTCTGCAGCATTTAGTTCTTCAGGCTACTACTGTTTGGTTGGAGGAATCCATTTAACTAGATAGAATTAAAGTAAGGAAAACAATTTAACTTTGTTCTCCTGAATATGGTAATGTATGGTTCTTGATTCAGAGCTGTGTGAATAGGGACAGTTTGAATAATTATGTCCGATACAGCATTGAGTCACAGCACACAGTAATGATGTCTTCTGTCTTTGTAATTTAGGCAATGTAGTCTGATGCTAGTTGAAATTATTCAAATTAAGTGATCTTGTGGCAATGGGCAGCAATAGTCATTTAAAAAATGCTGTGTCACAACTATTAATTTGTGACAAAGAAATATGTTGAAAGAAATGACTAATCATCAAATTCTGCCTTTAATTCAAGAATGCCTTTGTTCGAAGTAAAATTGCAAAATAGAAATCCATTGAAGCATCTAGATAAATATTAGCAAAACCAGCATTTTTCCAATGGTTTTGAAAAGTTAGGGTATTGGATTACTCAGTATCATACAAATGACCTTATAGTCAATACCATTGACTGTGATGAAAATGAATATTGGAAAGGTGACCAACGTAGTAGCACCCATGAAAAAGTTCTAACGTTTTATGTTTATTTGTTTTCAATCACAAATTAGGATTTGAAACTATACTGCAAGCCCTTATGCAAGAATTGAATGTCATTTAAATACATCTTTCTACACACAGGAATCCACACTGAGTGAAGACACCAGCCCACGAAGTGCAAGCCCCAGAATTTTTAGTAGTTCAGCTGCTGAATCAAGAGCTACACCTACCCACACTTTCTCTCTGTCCTCGGATGAAGTGAGTGTTCACTTCAATTGCTGTTATGATGTTTTATTTGTGTTCTCAAGGTTGGTAGATGGGTTCATCTGTGCACCTGGCTCCAGTGTAGGTTAAAATTCCAGCTCCACATCCCTGACTGACATTTCGCTTACTGATCTCAGGAAAGCACCACAATTGCTCTGGTTGATAGCAACAAGTTTCACTCAAAATGAGCTATGATTGTAAGCCGTCTACTTTTATTGCTATGTTTCCTATGGTTCATAGTGTATTAATCCAGTGTTATTATTACTGTGATAGAGTTTAATTATTATGTTAATACATCACTGATGTAGGCAGTGATGATAAGGACCTCAGTAGTTGTGTGTTTGCCCCCAGTTATGAGGTTGAGCAGTGTACAGCTCCAAGCTATCATGTATAGTGTAACAATGAACATTGACTAACAGATACAAAGACATTTGGTCTGGACTTTAAGGCAGAGATGACAGGAATTTTTCCTGCAGAATCTGTGGAATCCCTTATCCCAGAGGGCTGTTGAGGCTGTGTCATTAAGGCTATTCAAGGCTGAGGTGGACAGATTTTTAATCAAGAGAGGAATCAAGGGTTAAGGGGAAGTGGCAGGAAAGTGGAGTCGAGGATCATTAAATCGGTGATTACTCATTGAATGCTGGAGCAGACTTGATGGGTTGAATGGCCTCCTTCTGTTCCTATGTCTTGTGGTCTTATGAGATTGAATCAATACCCAAACAGCCCACATGAGAACATGATCAAATATAGTAACAGTGATGGACACCCAGAGAAGACAGTGTTTTTATCCTCGGAAGAATCTGAAGATTGAGTGAGGCAAGGTTGTACTGTGGGCAAGAGGAGTTTCAGAAGATCTCCCTAAGAATGGCTCGATGGTTTACTCAAAATGAGGTGAAATAAATTGAAGACTTAACTGAAGGGAGGTAAAGTGAGATATAATTAGAAGTGGCAGTGTGTCCATGCCAGGTCAGTTATTTCAGGCCGTGCCAAGGCACTTCAATGTTGTTGAAAGGCTGATGTAAGTAACTGGTTCATAGGTGTAAAGCTGCAAAGTAACTCTTCCATTATTATTCATTATTTTATTCTTTTTCACTAAGTTATAGAGTCATACAGCACAGAAACAGACTCTTCTGTCCAACCAGGCCATGCTGAACATAATTCCAAACTAAGCAAGTCTCACTTGTCTGGTCCTGGCCCATATCCCTCCAGACCTTTCCTATTCATATATCCATCCAAATGTCTTTTAAATGTTGTAATTGTACCTGCATCACCACTTCCTTAGGAAGTTCATTCCACACCACCATCCTTTGTGTAAAACATTTGCTCTTATGTCTTTTTTAAATCTCTCTCCTCTCACCTTAAAAATGTGCCCCCAAGTCTTGAAATCCTCATTCTAGAGACAAAACAACTACCATTAACTCTATCTATGCCTCTCATCATTTTATAAACTTCTATCAGGTTGCCTCTCAACCTCCTATGCTCCAGTGAGAAAAGTCTCAGCCTATCTAGCCTTTCTTTATAACTCAAACCTTCCCTATCTAGCAACATCCTGGCAAATCTCTTCTGAACCCTCTCCAGTTTGATAATATCCTTCCTATAACTGGACAACCAGAACTGGACACAGTATTCCAGAAGAGGCCTCATCAATGTCCTGTTCAACCTCAACATGACTTCTCAACTCCTAACCACCCTGTCTATATGTGAAACAAACTTCAAAGAATTGTGTACCTGCACCCCTAGGTCCCTCTGATCTACAGCACCACCCAAGGCCCTACAATTAATTGTATAAGCCCTACTCTTGTTTGGTGTATCAAAATGCAATACCTCGCATTTATCCAGATTGAATTCCATCTGCCATTTTTCAGCCCAAAATTCAGATCAAAATTCCTTTGTAATCTTAGAAAACCTTCTTCTATGTCTACAGGGCCACCAATTTTGGTGTCATCCGCAAACGTACTAACCACGCTTTCTATATTCTCATCCAAATCATTTATATAAATGACAAACAAAAGAGAACGCAGAATCGATCTCTTACAGCAACACAGCTTCCTGATACAATTTTTTTTTATAATTAAGTGAAATTCAGAAAGATGTACCAGCCAATGAGGTCAGAGCATTTTTTTATGCTGCATTGTTATGGCGATGATAGCTGACATTTGGGCGCTTTCAGCTGATGTTCAAGTAATAAAGTCACAGAATTATAGAATTGTTATGGCACAGACGAGGCGACTCAGGCCATTGTGTCTGTATTAGCTCTCTGCTTTCTAACTTAGTGTCAATCTGTTGCCTTTGTGCATTGTTTCAATTTAAAATATCATCTAATGCCCTCTGAATGCCTCAACTGCAACTGGTACCATCAATTCCAGGCACTGCATTCCAAACCGTAAGTACCAAAGGTTACAGCTGTGCCATCACTTTCACCTCCCTGAATACCTGTCTCTCTGTCTCTCTCTCTGTCATTGCAGGAGGAAAACATGCCACATTAGGGCAGACAGAGTCAAAGCAGGTTGTGGGCTACCCGACCTTCAGTTCCTCACCCCTCATGTGGAGACCATCCTGAGTCTGTCCCATACAAGTAGCTGACCGACCATGTCCAAGCCTCTGGACTGGCATTTGAGGCTGTCCTTGTCTTAAGATGCCCCTGAGCAAAGACTGTGTCCCTTGACTTGATTGAAGACTGTTGACAATGTGACAAGCTTCCTGGACTTTTGTTTATGCTAAATGGCAAGGCAAGACAGAAGTAATATGAGGCTGTTTTGAGACTACAAGGGGCAAAGTGCGGAAAAGCAAGGCAATGCAAGGCAGGGATGGTGTGCGCATCCAGATGTGCTCCGAGTCAGTGAGTGCTATGAGAGTGAGTGAAGAGCCCAATTTGATCCAGTTTGTGAGCTGAATTTATATCCATGAGAGCACAGAGTCCTTGCAACAGCCTGACAATGATAGTTGCCAGTGCAGAAGTGTCCTGCAAATGGATCAGAGATGTGCCACAAAGGTTCATAGCAGAACCAGTTCTGAGGGAGGGTCACTGGAGCCGAAACATTAACTCTGATTTCTCTCTACATCTGCTGCCAGACTTGCTGAACTTTTCCAGCAATTTCTGTTTGTCAACATCTATCTTGTCAAACAGTCTAAGAAACTTATGTTGCAATGAGGCTGCCTCTCATTCTTCTAAACTCCAATGAGTGCAGGGCCAACCTATCCTCATAAGTCAGTCCCTCCATACCTGGGACCAGCTTAGTGAACCTTCTCTGGATTGCCTCTAAGTGACAACTATATCTTACCTTAGATAAGTAGACCAAAACTATTCACAATATTCCAATGTGCTCTGACTTGTGCTTTTATAGTTGTAGAAAACCTTCCCTATTTTTGTACAACATTCGCTTTGAAATAAAGACCTCTATTCCATTTTCCTTCATTATGACCTGCTGAACTTGGATGCTAGCTTTTTTTTGTGATTTATGTTCCATGTTCTACAGATTTTCTCTCTCTAAGTAAGATTCAGTTCCTCTATTCTTGCTGCCAAAGTGCATGACCACATATTTTCTCATATTATCTTGAACTGACTGGTCTGTAATTGCTGGGCTGAGCCTTTCAACCTTTTTTCAAACAGAAAACTGTAAAACAGCCAGCTAGCATGTATAGCACTGGAAGAAGGAAAGAGCATCTAATTGAAGATGATTTCATCTTTAAAGCTGGTACTAAGGAAAGGAATAAAGGGGAATTCACTTATTTGCAGCCTGTCAAAAAATGATGATTGCAAACAGTAACAGTCAGTGTGTGCAGATATTATTAAGAAATGGATAATTCAAAAAGTAGTTTGATGTTTGTTGCTGATCTCTTCAGAAGCTACAGCAACAAACACAGCCAGGCGGTGGCGCCATCATTGATGGTTATCATAACAAATGGATGAGCATTTCCACTGGATGGGAAATTTAAAGACTAATCTAGGCTCTGGAAAGCTCTGACCAAAAGATGCTGCAGTCTGTTGGAATAATTATATAATTCTTGTGGACAACAAAGCTTGCTGCATCTTCATTTTCTAGCCTGAAGGGAAGGTGGAGAGGTCTTTTTTGCAATGTAAACTTGGAGCAGGCTAAATTGATACCGCAGGCAATTCAGAGAAACCTCCTAAAATGATGGTCACAACAGTTTGTTAGGAATATACATTTTCCCTCAAATTAACTGCATAATTTTCTTCACAATAACGCAACCATTTGGTACATACATCACTGCATTCCCTCACAATTCTGTATCAAATTTGTAACGTTTTGTGCTTTGCAATCCTGGATTGATACATGTTAGCTAATGAAAGACTTCCCACAGAACCGAGACACAAGATTGCGGGAAGTGAATGACCCCGTCTGTTGTCATGCTTCTTGCTCCCAATGATTCCACAACACCATTTTCACCAGCTAAAGCAAACAGTAAGAGATGGTGTGGAGGTGCCGGTGTTGAACTGGGGTGGACAAGGTCAGAAATCACACGACACCTGGTTATAGTCCAACAGGTTTATTTGAAAACACAAGCTTTCAGAGCCTCAGTCCGAGAAACTTTTTCTCCTTTCAGTGGATTGAGGGTGTTTGGAATTCCGTTCCTCAAAAGGCAGGGGATGCAGAATCTTTAAACATTTTTAAGTCAGAGGTAGGTAGTTTCAAGATTACCAAGGGGATTAAAAATTATCAGGGGTATGCATGAATGTAAAATTGAGGTTAGAATCAGAGCACTCATGATCATATTGATTGGTGGAGCAGACTTGAAACATTGAGTGGACAACTCTTGTTCCTTTAACGTATGTTCACATGATTGTTTCCTTCACACTTTCTGAAGAGTGTTGCATAGTATGAAGAAGTGCAAAAATGAGTAGAAATTTTCTTTTAAACTGGTAGGGACGTGAGGGGTTAGAGACAATTAAGAAAGCGTATTGTTTTTCAGATGTACATGTGGTCACAGAATATTTACATCGGGTACCACTAAGTAAAGGCAGAGTGTTACAGCAGATAATTAGTTTATAACACAGTATATTCTCCAAATGAGCATGTGTCCTTAATATCTCAATATTTTGCAAAAGAATTTAAAAATAACATGATGATCAAGGAGTGAGAAATCAAAACCAAACCTGTATAGTTTAGAGTCACTGTTGCTGGGCAACTATTTAGAGCATCCACTCAGTACAGTTTGCGTGATTTAAAACTCAGGACCAGAATTTGACGTGTGATTTGTGAGCACTTCAAACAGATTTCATTAACTTACGGCAGTAAACTTCGATCAAACCAATTTATTTCTGCAAAGATATATCGAATAACTGTGAGAGTCAGACTATTTAAAATGTAAAATTCAAATCTAGTTACATTGACGTTCCTTAATAGGATGGTTTTGCATCAACTTTTGATGGAATGAACTTTATGTGCTTTGTATTTTGAATCGAATGCATGATATTCCAGACACTTGAGTCAAATCATTGTGCCCCATTGGAATGCAAGTCCAATAGAATGTGATTATTCCATGTCCTTTGAGAAAGGTCATAACAGACATCGCAGAGGATTAAATTCATGATTGATTCATATTTGATATTTTTTTAAAATTGACATTTGGAGGTATTAGATATTGGATTTGATGGTGCGTTCCTAGAAAAGGTAGGCACTTTCCTTGTTCTCATGATGTTTGTCCAATGCTACCAATTAGTGGTGTGTACAAAACAGGTTAAAGGCTATAAATGTAATGGAAGGGGTGAAGTCACACTTGACTCTATCTTCTCTTCAGCTAATTAACGCACATCACACAGTGATCTCATTTTGTATTAACAACATTTTGTACAAATTTCTTGAAAACACTGGGCTTGCTTTCACATCCTTTAGTCAAATATTGATCAGGAATTATTTTCAGTACAAGGAAAGTGTGTTATTAACTGCAGAGCCATTTTTCCACTGTTATCATGTTTTTCATTACAGTGAAAGAAATCTGTTTTAGTGAGCAGGGAATCCATGAACTCAATGAGGGAAGAATCTAATTAATCAGGTTCACTGATTCAGGTTCAATCAGCCTCAGTAAGGGAAGGATCCATTGATTTGTATCCTCTCTAGATACTGTACTACAGAACCTGATCATTATTCTACTGAATGCATCAATCTGTGTAAAAGTCAATACTTCGTTTAAGTGCCTTATCATTATTCAAACAAAAATGTTTATAATGGAGGCTACTTCAGCTCAATATTTATCTTACAAGTATTTATTTTTCAGACCACTTACACATCCTATCACATTCCACAATGTGACACCACATATTCCCATGAAGCTCTGTAAAAAAAAAACACACATTTCAGAATTGATTCTATTTTAAAGTATGCACTTGTCTTTTGTAGATGAGACAAGTGGCGAAATTCATTAACATACTATTGTTAGTTCACTTTTATGATGTATTCAACACCTGAGTAACATACTTTTAAAGCTTGTTTATCCTCACTGGGTACATTTCTGAGATTATAATGTCAAATAATTGTGTGCCATTTGTTTCACATACCAGTTTCTTGATGAAGGACAGCCTTATTGCCTTGTTTCTACCTGGACAACTCAGCAAGTCTGCCAGTGGCTGACTGAGTTGAACATGGACCATTATGTATCAGACTTCACCGCTGGCAATGTTGATGGTGAACAATTATTGCACTTGGATGGAAGCAAACTGAAGGTAAGCTGGTGGGTGTAGAGCTGAAAGTGGGACTTTGATAACCAGGGAAGGTCTTCTGCTTATTTCTTCATGCTTCACAGTCTTATACTTTCCTCTTCAGTTGCTTGTGGGAGCCTTCTATTTTCGATTTCAATAAGCAATATGACTGGAGAAAATAAATAATGCATGAGGTTGTTTCCCTGATGCCTTTCTTCTGTGATTAAAGGGAACTTACAAGTCTTCTGGGTAGACAAACAGGAGGCTGGAAGAACACAGCAGGCCAGGCAGCATCTGGAGGAAAGGAGCAGTCAACATTTCGGGTATTACCATTCTTCAGGACTGGATGTGGGCGTAGGGGGAGCTGCAGATAAAGAGTTGGGGGGGAAGGGGTGGAGGCAGAATGGTGGTGATAGATAGACACTGGTGGTAGGTAGGACCTGGTTGGTCGATGGGAGGGATGAATCGGGTTGGTGGCTGGAAGGGAGGGTCAGAAGGTGGAATGGAAGAAAGGGGTTGGCGCTGGAAGGGGAGGCAGGGTATGGGTGGCAAGGTTATTTGCAATTGGAGAACTCAAGCTTAAGTCCTCCGGGCTGTAGGTTGTCCAGGTGGAAGATAAGATGTTGTTCTTCAAATTTGCATTCTAAGTCACTGCAACACTGGACAAGACCAAGGATGGACATATCGGGGGGGACAGTGGGGCGGGGTGTTGAAATGGGTGGTGGTCAGGAGGTTAGGCTGGTCGTTATGGGCCAAGCGGAGATGTTCAGTGAAACGGTCACCTTGTCTATGCTTGGTCTCACCGACGTAGAGAAGACCACATCGGGAGCACTGGATGCAATAGACTAGGTTGGAAGAAATGCAGGTGAAGCTCTGTCTCATTTGGAAGGGCTGCTTAGGGCCTTGAATGGAGGTGAGGGAGGTGGTGTCTGGGCAGGTATTGCATCTTTTACGGTTACAGGGAAAGGTACCGGGTGGGTTGGAGTGGTTGGTGGGGAGTGTGGCGCGAACTAAGGAGTTGCGAAGGGAATGGTCCTTGCGGAAGGCAGAGAGGGATGGGGAGTGGAAGATGTTCCAGGTGGTGGGGTCTAATGGAGTTGGCAGAAGTGTTTGAGGATGATACATTGGATGCAGAGGCTGGTGGGGTGGAAAGTAAGGACAAAGGGGACCCTCTATTTATTGTGTTTGGGGGGGTGGTGGTTAGCGGGGAATGGAGGAGGGACGGTGGAGGGCTGTCTGGAGGACAGAGGGAGGAAAAAAGCGTTGTTTGAAAAGGGTGGACATCCAGGATGCTTGGAAGTGGAATGTCTCTTCAGCAGAGCAAATGGAATGGAGACAGACAAATTGGGAAAATAGGATGGAGTTTTTGCAGGATACAGGGTGGGAAGAGGTGTAGGCTAGGTAGCTATGGGAGTCTGTGGGTTTATAGTAAATGTCAGTATGTGAGTTGTCGCTGGAAATGGAGTTGGAGAGATTAGGAAAGGGGAGATAGTTGTCTGAGATAGACCAAGTAAATTTGAGGGCAGGGTGGAAGTTGTTAGCTAAGTTGATGAACTGCTCCAGTTCAGCCTGGGTGCAGGATGCAGCACCGATGCAGTTATCGATGTGACAGTGGAGGAGTTGGAGAACAATACTGCTGTACTTACTGAAGAGGGACAGTTCGACATGACCAACAAACAGGCAGGCGTAGCTGGGGCCCATGCGAGTGCCCATGGCAACCCCCTGGATTTGGAGAAAGTTGGAAGAATTGAAGGAAAAGTTATTGAGGGTGAGGACTAGACCGGCGAGGTGGCGGAGGGTATTGGTGGGGGGGATTGGATGGGTCTGTTGGAGAGGAAAACACTGAGGGCCTGTAGGCCGTCCTTGTGGGGTATGGACGTGTGTAGGGATTGAACGTCCATAGTAAAGGTGACGCACTGGGGGCCAGGGAACTGGAAGTTACCAAATAGGTGGAGGGCATGATTTGTGTCCCGGATGTAGGTGGGGAGTGCTTCAACCAAGCCGGAGAGAATGGAGTTGAAGTAGGAAGAGATGAGTGCGGTGGGGCAGGACCATGCGAAGACGATGGGTTGGCCGGGGTGGTTGGGCTTGTAGATATTGGGGAGCAGGTAGAACCGAGCAGTGTGGGGCTGGGGGACTATAGGGCTGGACACAGTGGAGGGGAGGTCACCGGAAGCAATGAGGTCATGGACAGTGTGGGAGATGGTGGCTTGATGGGCTATAGTGGGGTTGTGGTCAAGGGGGAGATCGGACATGGTGTCGGAGAGTTGGCGTTCGGCCTCTGAAATGTAGAGGTCTGTCCTCCAGACTACCACCCCCTCACTTTTGTCAGCGGGTTTGAAAGTGAAACGGGGATTGGTACGGAGAGAGTGGAGCGCTGCACGTTCAGAAGGGGAGAGGTTGGAATGGGTGAGATGGGTAGAGAAATCAAGGTGGTCGATGTCACGTTGGCAGTTAGCAATGAAGAGGTCCAGTACAGGTAAAAGGCTGGCAGGGATTATCCAAGAGGAGGAGGAAGGTTAAAGGTGGGAGAAGGGGTCCTCAGAGGGTGGTTGGGAATGTGTATTGAAGAAGAAGGCATGGATACAGAGGTGGCAGAAGAAGAGTTCAACATCGTGGCGGGCACAGAACTCACCAAAGTGGGGGCGGAGGAGCACAAACGTGAGCCCTTTATTAAGGACACACCATTCGCCTCAGAGAATTCAAGGTCCAGGGGAATGGTGAATATGCGACAAGGTTTGTGGGTGAGGTTTTGGGGTGTCTCAAGGAGGCTGAAATAGGGGAGGGGGAAGGGCAATAGCTTGTGATGGGTGTAAGTTGGACGTGGTGTGATGGGAGTGAGTGGTTGTGGGAGGGGAAGGAGGGGGGGAGGGTAGTGGGCTGGGGAGTAGGATGGAGGATTGGATGGGGGAGAGGAGTGTGGGAGGGATGAGGTCGAGAGGAGAGAGGAGAGGTGGAGGGGTAGGGTGTATTGTGGGGGTGGACAAATGAGGAGGGAGGGGTGTGCTGGCTCGTTGCAGGTGTGTAGTAGGACTCAGGAGTGACCCTGGGGATAGAAGTCCATGTGTTGATTGGACAGCGGCCCGAGTCCGGAGTGAAGGCGGATGTTACAGGGAAGTCAAGGCAGGTCCCAGTCCTGTCGTCGGTGGAATCCGGGACAGTGTTTGTGGAGTCATCCGGAGCGAAGACGGAGGTCAAAGGTGGATCCCAGTCAATGGTTGCAGAGGCGTGGGTGCCAGACCAGAACCTGACGCGGCGTCAGACTGGTGAGGCCTAGTGCAGGATAGGTCTGCACGTGAGTAATGGTGGCAGCAGCGTGGGAGGCCTGAAGCTGGCCAGAAACAGGGCACGGATTGTGAATGCTGAGTGGGTTATCCAGCTGGAGGTGAGTGGAGGAGAGTCTTGTAAACTTACGATTTTTAATGGCCGATATGAAGTACAAAAGTCATTTGTTGAGTGTGTGGATTCTGCGTCGAACATAGAAGAGTAAAGGTCCTCCGCAAGTATGGGAAAGGGAGACCTTGAGCTGGGGGTGGGATGAGCGGAGGTGCCGGTGTATTGCAGAGATGGTTGAGAGGAGAATCCAGAGAGAGAATTGTTTCTGGAGGCATTGAATTTGTTGTGAGTATGGAGCATCAAAGGTAGGTCCAAATTTTAAAGGTTTAAAATGTACCTATAGGCCTTGAGGGATCAGATGGTGGTGAAGACAGGAGCTGAGGAAGGTCACGTGGCTGTAGTAGTGGGTTTGTTTCATGGTGGGTTTATGGTAAATGTCGGTATGTAAGCTGTGCATACCCGCACTGCCCGGTTCTATCTGCTCTCCAAGATCCTCAACTCTTGAGCCATGCATTCATCTGCCTAATTTTCCTACTTTTGTACTTGCTAACTTGCGCTGTGAGTAATCCAGAAATTGCAACCTTTCAGGTCCTGCTCTTTGGTCTACTGCCTAGATCTCTAAATTCTTAATGCAAGACCCTATCCCTCATTCTATCAATATCATCAGTACTAATGTGTTTCATGACCTCAGTCTTATCACCTTCTCCCTACAGGATGCCCTGCAGCTGCTTGGTAACATCCCTCACCCTGGCACCAGGGAGGGGACATACCATCCTGGAGCCACATTTGCGGCTGCAGAAATGCCTGTATGTTCCCCTAAATAATGAATCCCCTATCACTAATCATTCCTACTTTTTTCATCCTCCTCTCCTCTATAGTAAGGATGCTGTGGTGTGCCAGAAACCTGGCTCTGTCAGTCCTCCTTTGATGAACCAGCTCTCAAGAATTTCCAAAATGGAAAATCAATCTGTGAACAGACCCCAGGGGTCTCCTGCAATACATGCCTGATTCTCTTTGATTGCCTGGTGGTCACCCATTCCAATTTTTCCTCCAGTTCCATGAGCCGCAGTATGACCACCTCTCTAAACGTGCTATCCACATAACACTCAGCCTCATGGATGTGCCACAATGTAACCAGCCACTGCTCAAGCTCAGAAACACAGAGCTCATAAACATAAACTTTCTGCATATGTGGTCAGCTGGGACCCTAGTAGGGTCCATTACTTCCAGATATAACAGGTCACACATTGCACTCAGCTGACCTCATCTGCCATGACTTAATCTTTAACTTACTTAATCTTATAAGCCCCTTACAAGTCATAAACCACAAAAATGACTTTACAAACTACAAACCACATCTTCCCTCTACACTGAATTCCCATTGTGCTCCAAATTCCCAGACACACACACTCGCTATGTCTGTGACTCACTCAGGATGTGCTCTCTCCAAAATGCTCATGCAAAGCTTCGAGCGGTGCTCCATGTGAGAAGCAGGGAATGCTGGTTGCAAAGAGCAGACTGAAAGCCTTGATTTGGGTAGATGCTAAATATCAAGGGGACTGTACATTCCCAAACAATGTTCCTTGCTTGGGGAATCAAACCTACTAGTTTAATATTGTTCATTGTGACCCAGACACATACATGAGCATTAGAATGACGGCACAGAAGAGCAAGAAGATTTATCCCAACTGTACAGGGAATAAGCTTTAAGAGATGTTTAGAGAGAAGTCAAACTATTCAGCCCAGAAAGAAAGAATTAAGGGAGCATTTTATTGAAGTAGTAATTGCTCCCTAAGATAAGCCTAGACTGTAACTTGAAATTAAGCAAAGAAAGAAAGGCCAATGACCAAAGACATAAAATGCTGAAGCATACAATCAAAACAGCCACTAATTATGTAGAGAAAAGTGCTTAGAATATTGCACTAAAATATGTGGTGGCATGAGAAAAAGCACAGTAGCCCATCTGGCTGGTCCAAATGAAGACTCTACCAATCAGCTCTAGATTGAAAAAGATTAGAGCATTTTAAAAGGTAATTTAGTACTAAGATGGAAAAGTTACATTAATGGAGGGATTAGCTGAATCATCTTCTATTTAGCCCTGATACTTTTGAGGCTTGTAGTAATTTAAAAGCTCATCATGTCCTATAAACTAGAATTTGAGGATTATTTTACTTGTTTTGCCCAGGCTTTGGGAGTTATCAACTCACAGGATCGAGCGACTATCAAAAGGAAAATCAAAGACATGAACACAGCAGTTGAGAAAGAAAGAAAAGCCTTGGAGAAGCTGGAAAAACAGAAGGAGAAGCAGAAGAGAAAGGAACAGGAACAATTGCAGAAAAAGAGTTAAGCTGGGCAGAATGACGAGGTGTAAACACACCTAAACATTTCTTTCCAGTTCTTCAGATTTTAAAACATGAGCAACAAGAAGAAGTGCAAGGAGTCAGCGGAATAAACAAGACATTGTATGGCAGATCGGTTTGTGGGATTTGTGAATGTGAAGTGCAGCTGTACTTCACACTTGGACAGTTCAAGTCTGTACTGACAACCCGTAGCATTAAAAACAAGTAATATTTCACAAGGCAGGCAGAATTCTCCTTGGTGGATTATCACTGAAAATTGTGCTGCATTTCCTCAATAATGAACCCATCCTCGCTCAGATACAAATAAAGAATATTCTGTCAGGATAATATACATTAAGAAAAACAGAACTAGACTTACCTCTGAGGACAAAGTGTTCCTGAGTTTTATAAGTAATTTACAGAAGTGGTTCTGAGTGCATTTGAAGCACTATTTACTTTTAAACAGAGAGAAGAATAAGACAACTATCCTTTAAAAATTGAAGAAACTTTTTTACATCTACATCTTGTAATTGTCAAAAATACACTCTAATGATTAAAGCAGCTATGAGAAGGACAAGGGAGAGCTAAGGATTAATCATGCCTGCATTTGAAATATTATACCTGTTTAAGCACAATCTTCTCAAAACCTGAATTCTTCCACAATCTAGGTTGTGAAGCAGGTCTTAACTAATCAAAAGAGTTTGCTGGAAATTGTGCTATCCTGGCAGAAAAACATTGCATACATGCACGGATGGAATGCTGCAAATATGTGATAAGAATTGGGATTAAGGAAAGGGAGTCAGACAATAGGATGTAAGCGGTACCTTGTCATTTCTTGATAAAGTCTTCCTTAATAGACTGTCCCAGAGAGTATGATATATGGTGTTTTGGTGATAAACTGTGTGCTTTCAGAAGATCTCATTTTGTACATGTAATTGTACAAACTATTCAGGACTTGCAAGTGAGTTCATTAACAAAAGTTTGAAATTAATCCAAAGATCTAGGAGGTGATGAACATTGTTCGGTGTAATAATAGTACCAGTTACGTGACCTTAAACAAAAATTCTGGCTTGTACTTAACAAGTATAGACCCATTGCAAGTTAAAATATTTGTGATGTGGATATATGTTTTGTGTGTTGCAAATGTAGCCAATGTTTTAAATCCAAACCGTGACACTTGGTAGAACCTGCCAAATATCATAGTTATGATTTAAAGAGAATTGCGGAACACCCTGCAAGAGGCAATTTCAGAATATTTTCATAGTGGCTCTAATCTTACCATGATATTCGATTCAGGGAATTAGAAAGAAGAGATAAAAATCAAATTATTTCTTTTTATCGAAAGCTGAATCTATTGTAAATTGTGCACCACCTCTTTAAGAACTCCAGTGAATTGTTTGCCCCATGGGACAACTGTTTTCCATTCCTGTGTGCATTGTAGGAAACACAACATTAAAATAGACAGTTCTACTAGTAAAATACAGATTTTATTTAAGGCTTCACACACCTGCAAATATACAGCATGGCTTTGAGAAAGCATAAATTAGTCAAGATGACTCCTTTCCTGTTAAAAGTACTATTGAAGAAGATGCAGTTATATTATTCACGTTCAATTCAAGCTAGAATTTGCCAGCCACATACAGGTCAAAACATTTGGGGAAGGGTTTTGTTTGAATGAATTGATTTAATTTTGGATTTCTTTAGAAAAATATAAGGCCCTTTAAGTATGAGGTAGATTTTGAAATCTACCATTTTAAGTTATCTGAAGATGACATTTTTTGTAAAATGTATTTTTGGATACTTGGTTTAAAACTCACTGGAGAGATTTTGCATTTGGCTCAAAATTTACATAGATATTGGAATTTCACATTGATTGAAAATCTACACAAGCTATTAAGACTTCTGTATTTGGATACTGCTGATACCAGTGGAGCCTATGAATTTTAACATCTGATATTGAGTGAAGAAACCGTAAACAATTGATAACCCTCTAGCCTGGTGAAAATGCTGTTCAGATGCTTCTGACATGCGAGACAAAGACGTTAAAGCAATTGAAGGAGCTGCTGCTGGACTTTGAAGGGCAGAGCGAAACCAATAATGTCTCTGGCACAGCACCACCAGTTCTACACCTTAGACTGACCGTCCAAGCTAGAAGATCTAGCAGAATGATTTAAGATCAATTTGTTTAAATTTTCTGGACTCGTAAGACATATTTAGATCCAAATGTTGGTCATCAGCAAGAATGGAAGAGCTGCTGCCTACCCATTTTCCACTTACAGAATTTTTTCCCATGGTGAGCTGATCTAATGTAACAAAGCCTTTTGATAATTTCTCACCAGAACACAAAGAGAAACATCCCTAGGTAGAGAATGGTTCTTTTGTAATGAAAGGACCATACCGCTGACATTAAGTTCCTTTTCTGGTTTTGGGGTTCCCAATTTCATTTTTGAATTTGTAACTGTGCACCTGGTAGGATACTCAAGTATTTCAGCTGTATATCAGGGAAGACTGCTGATATACAGCAGAATTGAGTTCTTGATGTGCCTAATGCATGGAAAGTGCAATGGCTCTGAGTACCATAGACCTTTGGTTGGGACGCAAATTTTGTTTGATAGGTAAACATGGTGCTAAATAAAACTAAGCACCTTTTAATGTAAATATTCAGCACCCAATATGAATTAATGCTGAAAAATATCACATTATCAGTCCTAGTTTATTATTTACACTGTTTTACATCCACAAAATAGAATTATTGAATTGTTACAGTAGAGAAGGCCATTTGACCTATTGTGAATGTTCTAGTCCTCCTAAGAATAATTCACACACTGCCACTTGTCCCCCATTCTATTCCTACACCCCTACTTATCTCTCCCCTTCAGATATTTTGAAAATTTGAAAAATTTACAGCACCAAAGAAGGCCAATCTACCACTGTGTCTGCCCCAACTGAGAATCGAACTTCTCAGTTTAATGCAGCACTTGGTGCATATGTCAGAAAGTTACTGGACTTCAGCTGCATATCCAGACACCTTGTCAATGTGTTAAAAATTTCTGCCTTTACTATCCTTTTGGGCAGTGAATAACAGATATCACCACCCAGTAAGTGAAATCATTTTCCTCATCTAAGGGAAATGTGTCATCCCTATTCACTCTATCCAAGCCTCTCACAACTTTGTACATCTCGATCAAATCTCCCCTCAGCTTCCTTTTTTCCAAGGAAACCTACCTCACTCTACCCAAATTCTTTCTTATAGCTGTAATTTTCTAGATCTAACAGCATCCTCTGTATCATCTTTCTTGCAACTGCATCCTCTCTGTAATGAGGTCTTCAGAACTAAACACACTATTTGTCTTGTGCAAATTGTGGCCAATTTAGTGTTTTATATGGCTCCAGCATAAGCCCACTGCTCTTATATTCTATACCTAAACTAACAAATAGAAGTGCAGGCAACCCTCAGGTTGCAAATAGGTTCTGTTCTTGAGGCAGTCAGTAAGTCAATTTGTATGCAAGTTAGAATGCAATGCAGGACAAGATAAAGTAGCCGCTTGTACATACGGGGAAGGTTCATATGTTGGATCTTTAAAAGTACACCCCTGTGTGGGATCACATTGATAATTATGAACATTTTTAAGTCAGGTGCTTGTAAATCGGGGACCCTCTGTAATCCATATTACTTCTTAATTGCCTTATTAGCTTGTCTTGATACCTTTAAGGATCTTAAGGTCCCTTACTTATTTATACTTCTCAGTACTCTTTCATTAATTGCAGATTCCTTTCTTTGTTTGACCACCTCACACTTCTCCAGGTTGAATTCCATTTGCCAATTATCTGCCGACCTGACCAATTCATTAAATGTTTCTGCAGTCTCCAGATACCTTCCTCACTGTCAATCATATGCCCAATTTTTCTGTCATCTGCAAATTTCTTGATCAGTTGCCTACATTTAAATCATTAATATTTACCACTAAAAGCAAGGCACCTAATACTGTACCCTGAGAAACCCCATTGGAAACAGCCTTCCTGCTGCAAAAATGCTGTCAACCATTACCTTTTGTTTCCTGCCACTGAGCCAATTTCATATCCAGCTTGCCACATTGCCTGAGAGTCTTGAACATTTTTTTAAACCAGTCTGCCATGTAAGAACTTGCCAAATGCCTTGCTGAAATCCATCCAAATCAACTAATGTCTATTCAGTTACCTCTCAGATATCTCAATCAATAACTTACTTATTCTAGCATTCAATTTAAATGGAAATAAGTTATCAACTGGATTGACAATGTTTATACTGATTTAAAGATATGGTAGTTAAGTGACAAAATGATCTCCTTCGGAGCTTTATGTACAATGCGCATAGAATCCCTCAACCTGCATGTGTAGCTATCATGTGGCAGCTCTCATCTGCTCAAAATAAATATCCTGCTTCTGTCTAATTCTACACCTTGTGTGCAATCATTAGTGCTGAATTGACAGAGAAAGCAATGGAGGGGTCAGTGACCTCTTCTTAAGCAAATTGGTGTCTACATGATTAATTATGTGAGGATATGAATCAATTAAACAGATGCACCATATCTGAAGATTCATTAAAATGTAAGTCCAGAACTTTATTAAGCTGTCATAAGTAGAATCAGAATGCTGAATATGTATGACTTTCATGTTAGGCTATATAGTTAAATCATTGCTGAGTTTAACAATTTTGTTCTATTTTAGCAAGGGTCTAATCTGCATTCCAGTAGCTGAATCAGTCACCCCAAGAAATATGGCCTAACCAAAACCTTTTATGTCATTTTTAACTGGTAATTTTTAACTTCTTTGTGGCTATTTAAACACAAAATTCCTACTGCTAAACTTACACAAAATATTTCAGCACATTCCTGAAATCTGAAGTAAGAGATGTCCCACTGAAAATATTTTGCACTTTGAATTACCTCATTTTTCTTCATTTTGTGGATTAGGACACAAAGAAAAATCATTTCTCATATCGGTCTGATTCATTGTTGAGCCAGACTTTGTCAAATTTCTCACATCATTGATCAATTTCATGGCACATGTTGATGATTGTTGCATTGTTAATTCAAATTATGCCAACCAAAACAAGCCTG